ATTTTAGGTTGAGTACCTTCACTATTACCACAGATGCTGAACTTGAGTAAAAAACTAAGTATTGGCAAGAGATGTGCTTCCTCACCATGGCTGCCATAAAAACCATGCAAGGAACAGCCATGACAGCGCATCAGGTTTAAATAGAACAAAAGATGAAAAAGAGAAGACAGCCAATTTATTTCAGTCGCAACCAATGTGTTTTGGCATAAAGCCCTCACCAGAGCATCAGTCAGATCTATATTTACATAGTTAGAGGGAACAAATTTGAGAACTTTTATTGTAGGGCCCATCTGGCAGCCCTTTTTGGGGAAGCACAGACTTAATCACCCAGATTTCTGGCCTGAAGGCTGAACTAGTCCACACACACAAACAGACATAGAAACGCACGCACACAGACATATACAAACACACACACACACACACACACACACACACACACACACACACACACACACAGAAAAACACACACACATGCACACAAATGCAAGCACATGCACACACAAACACACACACAAACACACACATTTTTATAGCTATAATGGTAAGGACATTGTATCTGTAAAGCCTTTCCTGAACCCAAACCATACCCAAATTATGCCAAACCCTAATACCAACCTAGCCCCAATAATAACCATAAACCTAACTTTAACCAGTGAAGGTTAATCCTCTGTATTCCACTCTGAGGACTACTTAAAATGTTCTCACAAACCCAAATGCCCTCACAGCATTGTGGTTTCTCAAAAGTTGGTTCTCAGTATAGCTATACAAGATTGCGCACACACACACACACACAAAACAGCCATGTGTGAAAGCTCCACCACAGATCCAAATTCTGTCAATGACATGATTCGCTGGTCACGTGGGAAAGCAACGATCTGACAGCGATGGGCATCAATCACATGGATCCGTGACAAACCGTCCCCGCCTAGGCCCCCCCCCACCAACCCCAACCCCCACCCCCAAAATCAACACCCTTATCAGAAAACATTCAATCAGCATGACACTGTTCAATGTTCCAGAAAAGCTTTGTTCCTCATTGTAACCCAATTTCTAAACTGAATTCATCTGAAATACCCCCAACCTGCCAAGTAGAATATATCCATGAAATATCATATTTTATACTTAAAGCAATGAGCCAAAACATAACTACACTGCAAAAAGTGTCTGTCTTTGCAAGTCTTTGAATTTAAATGAGTCTTAAGTTCCTTATTTTTCTCTCTCAAGTGGAAAATATGGGCTTATTTTAAGTTATCAGTTGCTTGACAAGTGGAATTTTCTTAACCCACTGGCACATCTAGAAATGAATCCAAATCATCTCATCTCATTGGCAAAATTTGTCTTACTTTAAAAAAAGTAATAAAAATGAGTGTTTTAAGTTGAAATTAAAGACTATAATGCTTAGTAAGAGAGGTTTACTTTTCATTTTCATCAAATATGCTGTCGGTCCGACGAATGCCGCAAAAACTGCTCGACACACCAAGGTATTAACCCAACAAGTCTTCTGACGGTGCCCTGTGGAATCTGGCCCCAAGGCATTAGCAGCTGGTCCATTAAGTTGATCGAACTTGTTGTTCCAGCACATTCTGCAGATGCTCAATTGGACTGAGATCGGGAGAATTTGGAGGCCAGGACAAGACCTTGAACTATTTGTCATGACCCTCAGACCATTCTGGAACGATCTGTGCAGTGTGACAGGGCGCATTATTCTGCAGAAGGAGAACACCATCATCAGGAAATGAAGTTGTCATGAGGAGGTGCACCTGGTCCGCTGTAATGCTTCAGTTGCTGGAACACATCAAACTGACGTCCACACGAATGCCCAGACAGATGGTTTTGCAGCAAAACATTTTCCCAGAGCATCACACTGCCTAGCGGTTCCATTGTTATAAGCACTGACCATTGCTAAACAGGTACAACCCATAAGTCTTCTGGCTTCGGACATGCTCTGACTCAGCTGGTCATAATGTTTTGGCTCATTGGTGTCAATCTTGTACATCATCCAGAACACATATATAAAGATAAATGCTCACTTCACAGCCAAAGCAGACTCATGGTCTGCAGCAATCTGTCAACCTGCCCTCCTGGCAAACAGACGATTTTTAATCTTAATTAAATGTGATGCTCAAAAGGTGAATTGACTGAGGTTCACTGCAGTTCAGATACGATTCTTGGGTGTAATTACTCAGAAACGAGCTTGCTTCATTAACACAAAAAATTACCTAATCGGATAGACCTTCATATTCCCACCTCAAACGCCTCTAGTATCCATCTGTCATTCTGTATGTGTGTGTGTGTGTATGCGTCTGCATGAGTGTGTGCGTCTGAGTGACTGTTTATGTGTGATTGCATGTGTGTGTGTATGCAAAAGCAAGAACACTAAATAGAGTGTCTCGAAGTCTACAGTATGTGCGCATCTGTCGAAGAGTACAGACATAGTAAGATATCAGCAGTAAGTGCAGGCGAGAGTGTATGTACATTATGTGTGTGTGCGTGTGTGTGTGTGAGCGTGTTTACGTCCAGATACACTACCCAGAACACTAAAGCAGCTCGTTCCCTAACTCCCTATCGGATGGGCCAGGGTTCCACCAGATCTATCTCACTGGCCCACACTCTGTAGATCAGGTGAAGGACAGGCAAAAGTACAGACCTATAGCGTGTTGAGACTAAGCCTCAGAAATCTATGCCAAGGTCAACGAATGTACAGGTATGACCGAGAGAATGCAGGCGTGTGGGAGTGAGAGTGAGCGTACACATGTGCATGAATGAGTAAATATGTAAGAAAGCAAGTGGGTGCGAGCAAATTTGAGGGTCAGTAAATGTGACTACATTTTAATGCTAATGTCAAGTGCATGGGGCCAAGCGCAAAAGAGTGTTTAAGTGAATGAGACTATGAGCAAATGCGGGTGTAATCTGAAGTAGAGCTTGGTTCCCAGTTGTACCCCTTTCTTCTCTCCATCTTTGATCTGCAGCCTGCTGATCCTGCAGTTGCCAGGTCCTTGCAGGTGAGACAGCTCCAGCGCATTAGACGGTGCTGTCTCAGGGGGGCACTAAGGTGATCTCAGGGGAGCTGAACCACCTCTGGATGGAAGAGTCTGCTTTCAGTGCCATGCTCAGGGATGCAAGAAGCCAGAATATTTTTTAAATTCTGCTTTTTCCGTCAGTATTTAAAGAGTGACAATTTTTTTGTTTTGTTTTGGCTCTGTATTACAGGAAGTGAAACAACCAATATGAGGTTGTGAATTGCTTGCTCTAAATGGAGGCATGTGTAACCATAGTGGGTGGTCTTTACAGCCATTTTTACACATCCACAAAATGTTCTCAGATCACATTATGTTTACAGGAAGCACCACGTAATGACCTGCAAGTAAGGTGGAGGGGATTTTGGCAGCGGTTCCGACCTCCTGCTGCGTTGTGAAGGTGGAAGTGTACACCAGCCCTGGTCTGAATCTGCTGACCAGAGCCAAGCGCACTGTCAAGGAAACAGGAAGTGCAGGACGATACTATGAGCAAAGAGCGGTCATGACCAGTTTCACCGCTGACCTCCAGTGTGAAGGTTTAGCCTGTGAAAAGGTGCAGCACTGAGGCCCAAGTTTGTGAGGCTGAAGTGTATTTTCATGAATTCGGGCACTTCAAATTTTGGTTGAATCTACAGGATGGTTGGTCTCCAGGAACAAAGTTGGTGACTAATAGGCCAGCCACTTCCAACTGTCACTCACTTATATCCTCTCCAGTACCTCCTGAACTTTACAAAACAAGAAAAAAAACTGCTTTCATTTCACTCAGTCTCTTAGTTCTCTACAGTTCCTTGCAAGGTCAGGGCTTGTTCTATTCCAATTCCAGCAGGAAAGAAAAAAGTACTCACAGAGAGAAGAAATGTCTGCTGGGAAATCATAACTCAAACAGAGACATTTTGAAAGCCAGCCCACAGTCTGGTAAAGGCTTTGTGAAAATTTAGGCAAAAAGTTTTTCTCCCAAAAGGCAATTTCAGTAAAAATACATGCATGATAAGAAGCACCCTACCCTCATTTGTGCTAGAGCGCATTTTAAAATTATTTGGATTGAGACACATTTTTGGTTTGGTTTTTTGGTTTTTGCTTCATTTTTGTATGCCGGTACATTGGATTTCAAAATAATTAATTCAGGCTTAGAGACAGTCATATACTTCATCCAGCCATTATCTAAACTGCTTCTACCTCATAAGGGTCGTGGAGGAGCTGGATCCGATCCCAGCCAACCAAGGGCAAAAGGCAGGAAACCAACCTGGGGTGCGTTTCCCAAAAGCGTAGTTGCTAACTAAGTTAGCAACTTACATAGTTCATCCATGCACAGTCAATAGGTTCCAACTATGTAAGATAGCATCTGTGACTTCGGGAAATGTACCCCTGGGCAGCTCACCATTCACTCATACCTATGGACAACGTAGAGCCTCCAGAGAGCCATGTTTATGTGCTGTGAAAGGTGTCAAAGCAATTTTTTGATTGACCACATGATAGTTTGATTACTATTAAACCATATTTGCCAATCTAAATTGTTAGAAATATATTCTGTATGACATATGCATTTTAGATCAAATTAGGCCTCTGTCCTCTCTGCACTTGCAAGACACTCAGTCTGTAAAATGAATATGTCTCTAATTTGAAGATAAGCCAGGAACTCTTTGCCCTGGCAGTAGCAAATTTCAAGTGAAATCTTATTCCCAAGCCAAAAAAATAACATGGCAAGGTCATGGGTCTGGGTGTCTCATGATGGGAGGGAAGCCTGCTGTGAAGTTGGAAAATTGTCTATTATTGTCTATTAAAGCCCCGCTTGTATAAATTGATGTCGGATATAATGGTAAATGGACTGCATTTATATAGCGCTCCCTTGTCACATGCCACGATCCCACAGCTCTTTACAATTACCCTCATTCACCATGATGGCGGAAGCTGCCATGCAAGGTGCCAACCTCCTCATCAGGAGCAGTGTGAGGTTCAGTGCCTTGCTCAAGGACATGGAGCCTTTGGAGGAGCTGGGGATCAAACCAGGAACCTACTGATTCCTGAACCACCCACTCTACCTCCTGAGCCACGCCGCCCCGTGCCAGATCACTCTCTTCAGAGTTCTGCCATTCTCTTGTTCAGTTTGCAAACGAATAGAAGTCTTATTTCAAGGTTTTGCAGTGGATCTGAGTTTGAACCAGACAATGCTTAGCCTGGCTTCGTGTGAAAAAGGGCATTTCCTCTAGCAAAGAAAACAAGGGTACCTAGAAGAAACACACTCGAAGGATATGCAAACTCAACACAGAAAGGCCCGAGGCCGGCTTCAAACATGCAACCATCTTGCTGTGAGGCCACAGAACTGCCCACAGCTCCACCCCAGGTATATAAATCAAATAGCATTGCAGTTCTTTTTAAAATCTCACTGTCTAAATACTGATGAACTACACTGTGAAATATGTTGCACAAAACGGCCTCTTCTCGTTTAATTCCCAACAAAGCAGCTGCCTCGTATTTGGCTGTATTATGCCACTTGGATGCGATTATTTTTATATAATGCCTGGCCTGTCACTGTATATTGCTTACTAACCATTACTTATTTTACCAATTGGGCCAAGACAAAAATATTGCCAAAGTGAGACCAGTTCTACAGCCTTCAGGATTTGCCAATGGCAAGACACATGTATTTCAGTAGCAAGAAAAAAAAATTCAAGCCTTATTATGAGACAAAAACGCTCCACAGTTTTGCAGGGAATGTGCTCTGCTTTGAGTAGGCCATGTGAAGCGATGCGTAAGCAATGATTATTCTACTACAATGAGGTCCATGGTGGAAATGATGTTCGTAGGTTATCAGAAAACACCCACGCTCTTCAATTAACATTTTCTACCTGCATTCTATCCCCTGCCAGCAACATTAGTACCCAACAGAGGAACAAACAGAGCCTAACTTTCACATAGACTTGGAAATCCGCGAGAGTTGAACTGAGTCATTTCAATAGCAAGTGAATCCTTTTTGCCGGGGGGGGGGGTAATTATATATATGAACAAGAATGATATTTTCATAACAGCCACAAGCCATTAAAATGCACATATTTCATGAGCCAGTCAGAATTCAGAAGCAGGGCGCAAGGGGTGGGCATTAATTTTAAGGGTCGGTAGATGTGAAATCTCAAGAAATGAGAGGCATAAACAGTTTCGCTCCAGTTTAATGCAGATAATAGTGCGTTGAGGGGGAAGGGCTCATTCCAATTGCTTATTTTGAACAGCGTATCAATCTTTTCCTGCTCTCAGCTGTACCCATCTGGCAGTAGCAAGAAAAGACGAGACCAGGGCTGCGTTCGAATGGTCTTTTTTGCAAAGGAAAGTTCCTAACTCTGGAAAAAAAAATATCCTGAAATAATTGTGTGGCAATCATGATAAGTGCATTTGAATTCTTTAAATGTTATGGAAAGGTGTCTTAGTGCTTCCTAATTTACCTTTAGTATAGGGTAAACAGAACAATCCTTTTCGAAAGGAAAGGAGATAACACTATCCCGCAATTCCGCGAGGCAACAATATTTAAAGCGACGACCATTCATCCGGCCAGTTGCGAAAAGAAATGTATCAGACAGGTAGGGGTCACGTTGACGTGGCCTAGTGTTAAGTTCATTCAGATTCTCTTTGCAGCGCGGTTGTCTCTCTAAGCCATTAGGAATTCCCTTTTACACATTCCCTTTACCTTATGACGTTTTCCATAAGAGTGAAAGAAAAGTGGTTTGGAATTAGTGGATAGGACTTTATTAGACTATTCGCACGCAGCCCAGGTGTAGGGAATGTCATTTGACTATTCGCACGCAGCCCAGGTGTAGGGAATGTGGGGGATCAGTCATGTTTTGGGGTTGTTTTAATTCAAGAGGTCCAGGGGCAATGGTTAAGATTAACGGCATAATGAATTCCAGTAAGCATCAGGATATTTTGGCTGACTATCTGGTTGCCTCCGCCAGAAGGCTGGGACTTGGCCATGGATGGACTGTCGATCAAGAAAATGACCCAAAGCATACTTTAAGATCCACACAGAAATGGTTCTGTGACAACAAAATCAACATTGTGCAATGGCCATCAGTCGCCAGTCCTAAATCCAGTTGGAAACCTGTTAGCTGAGTTAAAGAGGTTAAAGGTTGATAAACACAAAACCAAGAATGTGAAGGATCTTTAAAGGATCTGCTTGGAGGAATGGACCAAAATCCCCCCCAAAATGTGAGCCTTAATCTTGTCAAAAATTACAGGAAAAGACTCCATGCTGTTATCCTTGCCAGAGGTGATTGCACCAAGTACTAAATGAAAGGTGTAAATTATGAAACCTTGATTTTGTTGAAATTTATTTTGGATTAAATTATGATTTTGGTCATTTCCATCGAAACATTAATGAAGTATAGTATTTCACATGTCGGGATATTCCGTTTTTCTATAATTATATTGTTTATATACTTTTTGTATTGTTTGCGAATTGCCAGTCAGGGCTGCTAGTAATTTTGGAGGCTACTATAGAACTCCAAGCTTCGGTTACTTTATGAGACGAGGTTATACAACAGTGCATGCTTTAAATACCCTGAAAAGGGCAACATAGCTACAGAGTGATGTCTCGTCATCCACGATGGTGAACACAGCGTTATCTGACGAGGTCACGGCCAGTCTGTAAGCCCAAAGGAAATGGAGACGAGTAGGACGAACTTCTCGGAACCAAAATAGCCAGGCTAGTAATATTCACCGGCTACTTTCTGACCTTAGAGTTGGCGCACCCATCGCCACAGCTGTGTCTGACCCCATCTACCCTCACATGTTCCTCTGTGAACCCAAAAATAGTTATTTATGCCTCATTAAAGGTAGACTGTACACACAGCCCCTGTGGGAAAGATATAATTAGCCTGCTGTGTGCAAAATGACAATCCTCATTGCGAATTTTACCCTCAAGTTTCCTGCTTTAACTGGTGTCCCAGAGGAGAGCTTCAGAGAGCAGGTGAATTCCAGCTTGTGCTGACTTCACACTCAGGGCATCATGGGATAGGCACATACAGTGCAGTTCATAAGTGCTTGGTCGGTGAAGAACTGCTTCTTCGGAGTACCTTTTGGCTCTTAAATCCTATCTGCTGGAATTCAAAGACAAACAGGTCAAAGTAGGAACCGTCACCTTCAGCGTGGAAGTGAAACGTTCATATCGTGTAATCGGCGTCGAAAAGACAGCCTCGTATGCAGCATCACAGCCCCCCACATATGGCAGGATAGTACTTCCTGGGCAGGAGAAAAATCAAATGCCCAGGAGAGACCCAGCATCACGGCTAACAAAAGACTAAAAACTAAGGAAACTCACATCTGGCCCTTAAGAGTACAGCTTTCAATCCAAAATTTAACTGGCAAAGAAACTCCAGGGGCTGACCAGAGATTTAGCACACGTCCCCCAATTCTAATCAGCGCTGATAAGTCATTAAACCAGCAGTCCAACTGGTATCATGCACAAGATTTGAGTAACCCCTCCAGCACTAGACAGTGAAAACAAAAAAAAAAATCCAACACCGTTTCGCTCGGTGCCATCATGCAGTAGTTGTATGGATGTGGCTAGTCAACTCAAAAACTTGTTCAATGAAATCGGATTCAAAAGCAGCCCAATATCACAAAATTCATCAAAGCAAGCCCACTGGCTCAAATTCGTACTATAAAAATACCCCTTAGATCACAAAAAAGAGCAGTACGTCTGCACAATAGTGCATGCCCATTGGGCAATTTATGCTGAAGCATCTCTTCACGGCTCAATAGAAATACTGTCCTTCAAGATATACATATTTGCGGGACAACACTTTGCATTTAAGTGGGCTAAAATCACAGCAGGCTTTTACCAGAGGGCAAAGCAAAACTTTGAAAGTGTCCAGGAACTGAGAACATATTGTCCCATCAAGTTCAGTCTTCCCAAAACTTCGACTCCCCCTGAAAGGGATTGGTCTAATAGCTAAACTCACAGTACTCATCTTCAGCATTCACCAAGAACCCATTTTAAATGTGTATACATATCCACCCATCACCCACCAGTTCACTGGCATTACTGCCCTCAAGCATCACCATCTTTACTTTTTAATGAAACCATCTATATTTAAACTGGGGGAGCTTTGAAAACGGCTCAAGCTGAGAACAACAACTCATGACAAAATGCAAAAAGAGCCATTTACTGATCTACAAATGAGAGATTCCACTGCAGCTCCAATTTTAAGCCTGGGTACATCAGATAGATGCTCTGAAATATTTTATTGCAAACCCACTCAACTTTGCCATAATATTAGCTCTGCATACAATCAAGATGCTGCATAGAAAATTATTCAACTTGGTATACACTGCACAACAGGGGTTTATCTGCTTGAAGTCCTTGAACAGAAGATGAAAATTGGGCCCCAAAGTCCTCAAGCTATAAAAAAGCAGGAGCATCAAACCAGTCTTGAAGTGCAGAACTGCTTGTTGGTTCAGTGCACATCAGCTCAAGACTCAGTCATTGAAAAGCTACAGCAGGGATCCACAAATCTGACCCTCAAATTCAAAATCTAGCCCAGTTTGTTGATTTCCCATGCTCCCGCTAACAGAGCTTCAAGTGAAACAAGTCTGGTCAATCAGCAGTACCAAATTAGTCGCTTACCTAAGTAGATATATTTCTGCCAGCATGCAGCATCAGATAAACTGTTCTTAACATAAAATGCATCCAAAGAAGCAAAAAATCACCTAGTGAAAATCCTATGATTGGAACAATGACCAGCATACAGTGGGCCGCCACGACAGACATCAGGGATGACAGCTATGGATAAAGTTCATCTAGGCAGCTTGGTAAATGGGTTTTAATAAATCGCTGCATTGGACACTGCAATCAGGGGAAACTGGTTATATGCCTTGTGAATAAAGCCTCAGCCATTGATCTCAATTGGAAGGTTGGACATCACTGGAGAACAGAACTAGCTTCAGTGGCAGAATCATGGTGAGAACTTGGAAAATTCCAAAACCACTATTCTAATGTATGACTAGTTCCAGGTAAGAAATGAAAATATTCTCAGATTCCATTTTAGAATTTGGCTAGTAAAATCCGCAA